GATCTTTCCATCAACATCCTGTGGTTTTACTGATCTTAGGAACATTGATTTAGGTTTGCTCAGAATTATTCAATTAACATACCATTTTTGTTTGTTTCAGGTTTTCAGTATTATCAACATCTATTCATCCACATTGATGACAGGAAACATCATAGAGTATCTGAAAAATTTAGCTTTTGAATTTTTTAAAACTTAGCTTAATAATGATCTAAAACTTTACAATAATTTTTTTAACAATAATATTTTAAGCAATCTAGCCCAGTACTACTCACCTAGTAAACATTTCTTTTCCTGAATTCTCAATAATAAAGTTTAATCCAGAAGAGAAACTGCTCTCCTGATGAGAATCTCTGTCCAGCCCCCACTGGGTTCCGAAGGCGTCAGGACCTTCCATGGGGGTGATGCGCCCACCAATGCATCCCTTCTGTTTATTGCTCGATATGTGTGTTTGTTCTCTCAGCTCACATCTGTCTTTTTTGTGGTAAACATGAAAGGAAAGCTCTCCATCGTCTTCTCCTCTGAGTTCCCACTTTGTGTCTACCCTCAGTTTGGAAAAAAAGAGTAGAGACAGTTATATTATCAGACAGAGACTGAGCAATGTAAAACTCACAAAGAAATAAGCAGAATTTTCTATAATCAATTTACCTTTTAAGAATGATGGGAATGCCTATGTGATGCCTCCTTATTTTCAACTAAAAGTTAAAATAATGATTCTTAGATCAATTATAGAGATACTTGTAAACTTCCTGAAAATTTTTAGTAAATGTAATTCATTGGACACATGAAACACAAAGATTATTTAATTGGAGCAGGACAGATCTTAATATAATTTCATATGGATATTTAAATACCAAGGTTATTTAACTAGCGAGAGAAGCTATAATGGATCTCTTACTGAGTAACAAAATATTCCCTGTACACAGTTGATGTGTGGGTCACATGCCACGTTTTAATGAAAGAAAAGTCTTAATACTTTTCACAGTAGTCTATATAAAATGTAAAGGAAGCTTACAAACAGAAGAATATTATCATTTTTATGTTTTAGGAGTGGCAAAGGAGAATATAGCAGCACTATCCTATCATGACATCCTCTCACTCTAGAAAGATTTATTTCATCATGTACATATTCTTGTATATAGCCTGGACCATGTCATGTGTATGTTCTTTATAGAGAGAGAGTAAGTATCAGTTAATAGGATTTTTTGCAGCATTACTGAATACCTACTGGCAGAAAATGCTGATTAGTAGATTGGTTCTGAAAGTATTGAGTGTAGGGTAAACCAGCGCTGCTGAGGGTATTTCAAACTAAAGATAATATATAAACTAAAAATAATTTTGTGATTTTCAGTTCTTTGGTAATTTTATGGACAGGAGTGAATTTTGCTTCCTCTCAGATATAGGCCTTAAATACAGCCTTTCAACTTGGCCTTATAAACAAATTTTTACCTTTAACTTTTCTAAGGAAAAAAATTGAAAATGCTCTGCACAATATTCTTTCTTGCCTTATTCGGAGCTATGTGATATGTATTCAGTACTAGTTCTTGATAATTTGTTAACAAGGCGTTTTTAACACTTTGGACAGATGCACATACTGTTTTCAATCTTCACGGTTAATTATTCGATTTTGTATTTGATGCCAGAACACCCTGACTCCTAATCACTGCTCATTGTTGCAAGTCCATTATATTCTAACTGTTTGAGTGCTCCCATTGACCTTGAACTGACATTATAAGCTGTGTCTAATCTTTTCAGTCTATATTTCTAATGCTTCTTTTCTTTCTTCCTTTTTTTCTGATCCCTGTTTAGCATCACAATGGGGCTGCCTCTGAGCCCTGCAGCTGACTCTGCCCGCTCCTCGAGGCATGCCCTGTCTCTCATTGCCACGGCCAGACCACCCGCCTTCATCACGACTATAGCCAAAGAGGTGAGAGGAACTTCTCAGTGTGCTCCATCTTCGCATTTAGAGGAATTATCTCATACTGTGAGCCGAGGGTCCGTATCTATAGATAATCCTTACAGTTTGTTCTAGAACAATGCAAGTTAATAATTTAGGGCTGGGATGAATACATATGTACCTGTGTGCATGCACACTGAATTCCACGGCAGTGCATTCATTACTTGTGCTTTTGCAGTCATTTCTGTTCTCAACGTTAATTCACTTGTAAATATTTGTATTTACAGTAATTTCTCAATCTGAAATATAGCAGGCTTGTTCAAATTAAAATATATTAAAGGTATCCACATTTTACAAGTGTAAGTGTCTACCTATAATCAAAACAAAACTTATTTAACACTGGCTCTCCAACTGTAAACAAAAATGTAAGTCATAAACTTGCTAATTGTTTTTCCTATTACATATCACAGATAAAGACTTGAATGCCAATTGATTCCCGAATTCTTAGTGCTCTAATTGCCCACATCTAACTGAAAAACTAGTAAAGAACAATGAACCAATTATAAGGTCTTTCCTATAGGTCTTAGTAGTGGGAGAAAAGGCAAGGAAGATAAACTCCTAAATTTTCTTTAAAGGTTTGTTCCATTTTAGCATGAATAATGTGCAGACTCAGTGTCCGTGGGGTATGGGCTCTGCCTGAGTTGTTTTTCCTGTAGCTAAGATGAATTTTTTAAATACTAAATAAATACCTCGGAGTCTGCCCTGATAACCTACAACCTACTGGGCCTATGTCTGCCCCAGAGCCATCCTTAATAGGCATGCAGCAAATATTTGTGACATGAATGTAGCTAGAAGGGAGGAAAGAAGGGCCTAATAGCAGATTGTATGGGTTTATATGAGGCAGTAGGACTTGGAATTCACACCTAAAATAGATTTGCAGACTAAGGGGCTATGTTTTTCTAATAGTGCATAGTGGTGCACTGAGAGTCCACTGTGTTTAAAATATAAATATGTATATGTCTATATCTTATAGAGAGTATGTATTTTTATAAAGTATATGTATGTATAAATGAACAGATTTATTAGACATGGGATTTTTTTTTACCAGTTTTTCATATCAGTGGGATATGCAGAGATACTAATATTGAATATACTGAATAAGCCTTACATTAGTCTGATACAGATACAGGTCTTAATAAAGGCCAGGCATGAAATTGCCTCTTTAAAGAGAGTAAACAAGTATTTTATATTAATTGTCTTTTTGAACTTAATTTTCACCATTTACATATGAGTATTTTTAAATGAACTGTTAGAATAGCCATGCTTGGGGTTTGTTCTACTCCAGCATTTGACTAGAAAGGTAATTTTTAAATATTTTAATGTCAGTGGTCTAACTAATTGCCAATGATTCCCACATTCTTAGTGTTCTAACTAATATTTTAATGTAATAGTCCACATATATTACCTTTTAAAAACAAGTTTTCCACTTCACTTAGAGGTTTAGAGTAAAATACTGAAGTATTTCTCACCATGACAGCTGTCGCTAACCCCATCCCCACGCCCACTCCTGCATGGCTGGCCCAGGGCCTGTTAATGCTCTTTCTCCTCTGAACTGTTAAGACTTACAATTTGTACAAGGAAGAAAAATCACACTGAACTTACGTTACAGCTGACCCTTGAACAACATGGGTTTGAACTGCGCAGGTCCACTTATATGTGAATTTTTTTCAGTAGTAAATACTACAGGACTGAACATTCTTGTGGATGGTTGAATCCTTGGACACAGAGGGCCGACTGTAAGTTGTACACGGATTTTCAACTCCGTGGAGTGTTGGCGCCCCTAACTCCCAGCATTGTTCAAGGGTCAGCTGTGATTACACAGTGTTCATTATTTTTGGAGGTATGTTTTTTAAAAATTTCCCAACTTGATTAGAAAGCACCTAGAATGGTGCCTGGGACACAGTAAGTGCTATGTAAGCATCATTTACCATTATTACTTGAGAACAAGAACCAGGTGTCATATGCGCTGGTGTCTCCTAACTGCTACCCACCTCAATGCCGAATATGCAAGATTCACAAACCTTCCATTTGTCCCTTTTTAAAAATGTCATGGTGATATTGTATTAAAGTCTCATATAATGCCCAAGAACTAGAATCCTATTAGGGAATACATACTGAGTGTTTATTGTACTAAGTACTTTCTTTGTAATCAAAAGTGTTTCCTGACCCACCCCAAGACATTTGTCTTTGTTGATTTTTTTTTCTGTTGTATTAGTAAGTGAAAAACCAGTGGCTAGAAATGTAAAAGTCTATCAAGTGTCGACCGTATCTACAGCATGGAAATACTTTTCTAGGTGCACAGACATACTGCTCTTGCAGCAAATACCCAATCCCAGCAGAATATGCACACCACAACTCTTGCCCGAGCTAAAGGGGAAATTCTGAGAGTCATTGAAATTCTTATTGAAAAGATGCCCACGGATGTCGTGGATCTTCTCGTGGAGGTAAGAATATTCTGTTTTAAATTATATCAGTACATCCGCAGATAAATTAAATATCCTAGTGTAGTAATATAAATCAGCATCTTTATTTCCAGCACCTCTAAAAGAAAGAAAGAGATGACTAAAATGAATGAACTTTTGTATCATTTCTGGAGACTTTATTTAAATTTCCTCAAAAATCAAAATGATTGCTATGTCCATTTACCATTCACATGGAATGGGCTGTATTAGAGTAGTTTTTAAAGGTTATAGTCTCTTCCATATCTTTCACTATAAGTAAAACAGAACATAGAGTGTGCTTGAATAAAAGCTACCTATCCTGTATATAAATAGGAATTGCCTTTCAAGTAAACAAGTCTGGTTTCTTTATTTTACTGTGTGCTGTCTTTAAAAAATGGTTTTCACAGGTAAGAGAAAGGATGGCCTATAGTATAAAGTAAGCACACTGTAATTTTAGTAAATATACTGTAGTTTTAAAGTAAATATCAAGATCAAACTATGTAGAATTTTAATGCAAATGAGGCCTAAGTTAATAATTTAAATTATGGAAAATTAAGTATTTGAAACTAATTTTAGATTTGTGTCTTTTCTGTAAAGGTTATGGACATCATTATGTACTGCCTTGAAGGATCTTTAGTTAAAAAGAAAGGTCTTCAGGAATGTTTCCCAGCCATCTGCAGGTAAAGAAGCCTTCAATAGCATACAAAATAAATAATTTTTAGTAACAGATAATTTAAAACAATTTTTTGAGCAGGATGAGTTAGTAGTTGTGCCCAATTAGAATTCCAATTATGAATTAATATCTGCTTACTTTCTAAAACAATTTAAGCACCTTATATTTAGTCAAAAACACAACTATAATAGAACCACTGTTTGAAATTGTGTTGTGAAGAGGTTTTCTCAAAACCTAAAAAAAATGAGTAAGAGATGCATCTATTAAATATGTCTGTATTCTTATATCCATTACTCAAATTAGCTTTTACATTACAAAAAGGAGAGTTAGGAAGCTATAACTTAGTGGAGGAAGATATACTTTTCAGCCAATAGAAACTCTTATGCCAACTTTTTGCTGGTAAATTTTATTTTTGATATAAAGGCCAGCATTTGCATATTGTCCTACTAAGTATAGGTGTTTTCCCTCTGAGAAAACAGGCCAAGAGCAGTTCAAAGAAGTCAAGAACAGTTAAAACTTTTATAAACAATGTTGTATATGTGAAGTATAACTCTAATAATTTGTATGTGTAGAGCATTTAATTATTATGAAGTGAAGATTTTTTAAATGTTGAAATGTAGTCACCTTATGTTTATTTTTCTCTTAAAGTAGTTTTTGGCTCTCAGAATGTTTATAGCTTGAGGTACATTTTGTTAAAAAAAATTTTTTTTTACTAAATTTATTTATTTTTGGCTGCATTGCGTCTTCGTTGCTGCACGTGGGCTTTCTCTAGGTGCGGCGAGCGGGGGCCGCTCTTCGTTGCGGTGCGCAGGCATCTCATTGCGGTGGCTTCTCTTGCTGTGGAGCACAGGTTCTAGGCACCCAGGCTTCAGTAGTTGTGGCACGCAGGCTCAGTAGTTGTAGCTCGCCAGCTCTAGAGCGCAGGCTCAGTAGTTGTGGCGCACAGGCTTAGTTGCTCCGCAGCATGTGGGATCTTCCCGTACCAGGGCTCAAACCCATGTCCCCGGCATTGCCAGGTGGATTCTTTTTTTTTTTTTTTTTTTTTTTTTTT